CTCTGTAATGTTTGCAACACCCTAATATGTCACAATGTTTATGCAAAAAGTGCTACGAAGGCTTTAAACACTCTTTGCAGAGAAAAATTCATTTTGTTTAGTTCCACCTTGTTTAGCTAAATTTATTTGCACTTTCTTTCTCAAGCCTTTCTTGAAACAACCAATTTCAATGAAATGCTCCAAAATGATGCATCGGTTAGGCAAATAACCTGATAAGGACGCCGACGAAAAAATCCGCGAACTTGTAACGTTCAGATTATCTCTCTAATTTTCACCCACATAGCGCAATAAAGGTCATTGTGCCAAAGTCACATGAAACACCGGGATTATGTAAAAACCTCGTTTGTGTGGACATGCTGGACTACGCCAACCGCATATGACATGCTAATTTTGAACTCGATGAACCTATGCTGAAGTTCAGCACAGGTTCATGGAGTTACCTATGATTACAGTCCCTTCAGCAGCTGAACCTAGAGTTCGTCACTAAGAATCTCCGTTCGCCGTACATCATAGGATAAGATGCTGTCATTTACCACATAAGATAGCTGTACTGAGTGCGGTTTGAGAAACATGGCTCGTGGACTAGGCAAATCGGCATGCATTTTTAGGCGGTATGAAAGTGGGCTTAAGATAGGGGCGTTGCTAATGGTGAAAAAGTACCTTTTCTGCCACAGACGAAATTCTGAACCATTTGAAATGTCACCCGGAGTCAAGTCTCTCAGAAGCCGTTGTAATGTATCTTTAAATGCGATAAACCACAAAAACAAATACAAATATAATGCGGCATAACCATCAAACATTTCTGTTTCGGGAGTTCATTTGCACCAGTGTCATTGATGACCTGCAAACTGATGAGAGCAAAAGGCGTTCTATCTCACGCATGCCCATCGACCAATACACTAAGTCAGGGGTGCAACGGGTAATGTGTGAGGGCTACACCAGCGATGTTCAGCCTCTTACCTCAAATCCGCGGTTCCTCCCAGCGGCAGAAAGCCCCTGGATGGATCTTTGACATGTGTCGCTCTAACGTCCTCCGTTTACCTCTGAAGCTACAGCTCAGGAATGCACAAACAACAATCCTCGTAGATCGGCAGGGTTTTTAAAGCTATTACATTAAAAAGCTGACAGTTAGCTATATTATTCTTGTCAGCCAGCTTCTCACGACAAGAACACAACCAACGGCAGCCCACAGCCTAGCACTGAACCCAACGCATTACGGCGTGGCGAGCGTCCGAGTCCATCTGTCTCAAATGGCAGGACGCTTCAAAATGCTGCGCAGCAAACTGATTACGTTCGTCGCAAAATGCTGTAGTCAGCCACGGTCCGTACGAATAGTAATAAGCCTAGTTATTTGGTATTTTACACTGTTAAGTACGTGAGAGGAATCTTGGCTGAAAAACCTGTGAAAAGCACTGATGTGAGGGGCATTGCAAAAACGCTGTGTCACCACCACTGATCTGTGATGTCAGCACTCATATAGCATAGCTTGCAGCATGTTTCTGTCACCTGCTGAAAACTACTCTTATAAAAGCTGCTATGTTTGGCAGCATCTTATGGCTCAGCTTGCTCATACTGCGAACCATCAACGTTTCGACACGCGCTCCACACATGCTCACGCTGCATGCATGAGCGAGTGCAGACCAATGCCAGGCCTTGAGCTTCGTCTAGCTGGAATGATCTGTTGTGATATGGTCTGATTGGTTGACGTTTGTTTTCATTTTTGAAATTTTGTCACCAATGGCTTCGCAAAAGTGTCAGTTTTTGTCACCTAACATATTCGGTAAATTAGAAGCTTTTTCACCCCTGGGTGTTTGCGGTCAATTTTGATAAGGAGGGCGAGATCGAACAACCCTGCTGGACCGTACCGTATATGGCAATACTCGATAGAACCTCCCCTTTTCTTTGTTCCGGCACAAATGGTTCTGTCTCTGTGAAGTACTGGAGAGGTTTGTTTTCAACAAGATCTCTCATCGGATCTACTCTCGCCTCACTAACAATGTTCTGTCTGAGAAAGGAGTGGATACTCGTCTGGCGGCCACTGTACGCAAATTCGGTCAGTTTGTCTAGCTACCATCTTTATTTTGCACGAAAAAAACGGAAATACGACGGCAGCGTACTTAGATATTTCAAGTATTCCAATAAAATCGTACTTCTTTAGAAACACGAAAACTAGTGTAGCATCTCCGGCCCTCTCCCCACAAGGCCGAAATGTTGTCTCTCTGACAGAGCCTAAGTTGTAAAGGGTAGAGGCTAACACCTCAAAACCTCAAAACATGTCTGCGGGCTGACCCGTAGGCTTGATGCTCGGACCTCATCCGTCTCAGCGACTTGAGCGACGGCACTACAGGCGACGAGCTGTTCTGTGCTGAAGATCCTTCACTTCATGTCTCAAATCCGTGCATTACCCCCGCCCTCTTGTGTTTCACCAGAATACGCTTTTATAATGTGTTCCAAATGTGTGACCTTCCACTCATATACAAAAGCCACGCATCGACTATTGCGGCATAGTATACGATAGAAACCCAGCTGTCGTGACGACGAACCGACTACAGATATTACAAAACCGAATAGCTGGGCTGGTGATGGACACACTACTCCTGACACCAACAAGTAAACTTATCATTGACTTGAACTGGGAACACTAAAACACAACTAGGCATTCGCAAGCTTCAGATTGCCACCAAGTTGTAACGTATGATTGAAGCCGAGGCATCAGCCGAAATACTGCATTGCTATGGGTCTGTTCCTGCCGCTCGCCTAACCTCATCCAAGCTCTCCAAGCCGATCTGATCGTTCCCGTGGCTCCTCCAACCTACTCCAAGCTCTTCAAAGTTCGCCTCAAGCCTCCTCCAACGTCCCCGGAGCTGAAAGTTTTTTCGGAGGAGCCTGGAGGAGGCTGTGCTAGACACAATTGGTGCCATTCATCATGCGCTTTTTGGTCTCATTTGCTGTCACATAAAGTAAACATAGTACAGGTGTGTAATTTGGTGCACGTACATTGATTATAAAGTCCTTTTTATAGCTGTTATAGACATGTCACTATTTTGTGTTACACATATCTACGATTTTGAATGAACCCGTCCAGAAATATTAACGTTCGTTGCCATTCGCCGTCAGTGCGACAAAACTGGCTATGTTACGCGCAAGCAGTGGATACCTCCTCCAGAATCGTTCCCTTGGCAGCAGATTTCAACGCTCCTTGGACCTCTTCCACTCATTTGGCTGGAACACATTTCACGTACAATTCCCGCTCACACCAACTTGAGAAGCCGCCACTTGGGTGAAAGGGCGCCGGGAGGCTTTGCCCCGTGTTAAGAGTTAATGCACTATGCCCTACATACTCCGAGGAAATAAAGTGCATCGAACAAAGTTTGCATCACCTAGGTCACGTCCAGGGGAGGAAAACCGTTTTAGACGTTAACATGGCTGGCAAGGACGTGCCGAAAGCGGGAAGACGGGAACGACAGCATCGAGAGACAGAGACATCACTTTGTGAATATGTCGGACTGGTGAAGCCACTAAGCCCGTGGATGAGCCCACGGATGACACAACATATCACTGCACAGTAATGGTTATCTTGAAAGACTCCATCTTGCCAAGCTGTACCGATGACCGGTTCGCGTGGTGACCACACACGGATCCTCGAATCGTTGATATTTCTCAACATAACCGGTGTCTGCATGAATATAAAGTCGTTTAACCAGTGGCTGTTGGTGCATCGAGGGCCGATTATGTTCAACAGAAGGACTCGCCGCTTCTGTTGAGATACAGGATGATCATTAGATATAGAGCCTAATAGTTATGACAAACTAGAACTTTGAAACGATAAAACATGTCTGAAGAACAGAAAATTGTTATTTACTGCTTTCAAATATCCGAAAACCGAGCGTGGTACTGAATGGACGCTTCTTCTTTGGCATAAAATACATTTGTAAAGGCCAAGTGCATGGTAACATGCTTTTAATGCAATTTTGTCGCGTTTCAGACAAAATGACTTTGCCTCTCTTTTTGCAAGGTACCTCTGTGCGGGAGATGTGCGAGGAAATACAACATAGCCTTGGTTCAGGCTCCTCCGACCTTAAGAGGCTCCTCTTGAGAAAATCCTGGCTTTATCTCTGATGGACAACACGCAGTTGTGGGTATTGGGCAAATGTTTACCGAAAATCAATAGATTGTTATTTGGGCTCAATATTTGTGCTGGTAATCCGAAAGCAGGCTCTAAATGTTTTGAAGTCGCTTGGTACCTTACCTTTAAGGCTTTTTCAGTTTGATAAATCAATGCCAGTTCAAATGGGAAATTTGAAAGTCACCATTGTCCAGTTAGCTAACTATTTGTAGATTTCACCTTAAGCTTATCGATATATCTAAATGCTTTCACTGTATAGTGCGACCTTTGGTTAGGGTATAAGCACGCGTGTCAACTACAGGCAATGTAAGTTACATTTTTGATCACGCATGACATAACACCAGACGTTTTCGGTTACCCACGTGTCCTGCTATGTTCAGAGGGCTGCAGCCTCAGCGTGCTGGTCGGTTGGTGGTGCTTGGTGTGGACGGCTCATCCTGGCGCGATTATGTGCAATCGAGTCTTAGGACAGCGGCAGCAGTAAACGTATGAGCAAGGAAGCTTTCCAAACGCTTCTTAAACCCTTTCTTTTAAAGAGGGGTTGTGGAACTGGCAAACGGGAGGCAAAATGGGTGAACACGACCTTTATTCGACGAGTAGAAAGATGGCACGAGCACTATCATGCGAGTGCAGATGCCATGCAGGCACAAGTACAGATGCCATGTCCCCTTCCCACCTTTTCTGAGAATGCTGAATAGTAACATTATAGCGACAAATGGAAAGCATCGACTTCAAAGTTGGTTCGGCACCACCACGATGTGAGGGACTCCTCCACCTCAGCTACTACCAGCAGTGTCCCCGTTGGCTAAGTAAGAGGCCTGGAGGGCGTCCCCGCCGGCCGCGCGCTGACCTGACCCCTCTGCCGCGGCGACAGGTGGTGCGGTACAGCGAGTTCGAGGAGTGGCCGGACGGTGACTTCCAGCGCGTGTACGCGCCCGACTCGGAGGACGCCAAGAAGCACACCTCCGGCTGGGCCATGCGCAACACCAACAACCACAACGTGAGTGGGCCTGGCCGCTGCGACGGCGCCGGCGGCCGGCGGCCGGCGGCGGGCGGCTGAGGCGCCTCCGGGCACCTGTCGCCGGTGTGTCAGGCCGGACACCGCTCTGACCCGGCCGCGCCCGGCGCCGCGCGCCGCCGTCGCCCGCCACTGCGGCGCCAGCTGTCGCCGGTACGGCGCGGGGTGGTGGCGGAGTCCGGTGCGGCGCGGCGGCCGGGCCCGCACGGCGGCGCAGTCGGCCGGCGGCCGGCGCCCGGGCCCGGCCAGCCCCGGCGCCGCCCCCCACGCACCCTGAAGCGGGCCGAGGCCGAGGGCGGCGTCCCGCGCCAGCTGCCGGCGCCGCGCGCCTCCCATGCTGATCGGGCGGCGGCGGCGGCGAGCGCGCGCGCCCCCGACACCTGCTCACCGATCCGCATCTGCTGGCAGGTGAGCATCCTGAAGAAGAGCTGCCTGGGCGTGGTGGTGTGTTCCAACTCTTGCGCGCTCGAGGACGGCAACTTCGTCCACCTTCGGCCGGCCATCTGCGACAAGGCTAGGCGCAAGCAGCAGGGTAAGACCTCGAAGCGGTACCTGGGCTAGCGTCGCGTCAGGTGGAGACCCTCACCGTAACAGGCGAATCCATCGCCCCTCTACATCTATCGCGTCTAGAATTTAAAAAATTATCTTCGTATCAAGCTGTTTTAGTTTTGGACCCATTCTTTGGTAATGTACTTATTTTTGCTTCTGTTTGAGATATATCGGTTGACTCATTGACGTGAACATCGTAACTATCGATGCAAGTCGATTGACGGTATGCACTTCCAAGGGTTTGCATTGTGCTCGCTTGCTCTTTGGCCACCTGTCTCGGTAGGCACTTCATGACAGACACCCATGGCTTAATATCACGGATCGCACGTGTGGCGTGTGTCCTCTATGTGTCGGCACAACACACGATTCATCGAAATAGTGTTGTCTAGGGCAATGGTGTAGCTTCCTCTCCATTTGGGCGGGTGGGGAGGGAGGTGGTGGGGGGGGGGGGGCATTCTACCCCAACTTTTGGGAGGAAAGTGCGTAAAATTCCGGGAGATGTCTGTTTTTGGCTTATGTTAGTGGTAGGTATAGCATTTTTCCCGCTAAGGCCCCTCCAATTTATTTTTGCAAAGCTACGCCCTGATCGAAAGGGTATGTTTGTATTTTGTTAACAATCTTCCTTTCAAATGGATTTCAGTTCTCCGTGCCACGCGTGCAGCAAACGTCTTGACGGCAAAATCATGCTACCACCTATGACCCTTGAGTAAGCGTTGCAGTTTTCTAAACAGAGCGACTCGAACCCCCCCCCCCCCCCCAAGCGGCGCACAGTATCTGTGGGAGCAGACAAGATCGGATCACCACACACGGAATCGACATTATGTAATTAAATCGAAGTAGGTCGATGTAAACACTTAACTGTTGAGAGATACTCATTTTAGAGTTCTCCATCAATGGTCAGAGTGGCGCTGGTAAAGAACAGCCATCGCCAGACCAAACCCATCCAACAATTCAGCTAATTACGACACCAAAACCACTGCTTTGGCACACAAATATCCTGATTTATCCAATGCCTTGGAGATCAAGGCGTACGCGGGCTGCCCGTTTGGCTCCTATTTGACCAACACAGGCGGGCACAATAAGCCACGGTCAGACGTTGAGGAGAGCACACACTCCGCCGTTGCAGGCAAGCCGTGCCCGAACGCTCGCTGCAGCGGCAAGCTGGCCATCCTGCCGTGCCGCGGCCACCAGGGCTACCCGGTCACCCACTTCTGGAGGCACACGCCGTTCGCCACCTTCTTCCAGGTGAGGCCCGAGTGCGGTCCGGGAGACTGTTGAGGCGAACGTGTCGCGCCTCAGCAGAGCTGGGGGCGGTAGTACCAGCTCCGGTCGCTCGGAGCAGCGATACCAGCTCCGACCCCTCGGAGCAACGGCACCAGCTCCGATCCCTCGGAGCAGCAACACCAGCTCCAACCGACCCCTCGGAGCAACGGCACCAATTCTGATCCCTCGAAGCGTCCCTCTGAGCAGCGGTAGCTGTTCCGATCCCTCTGAGCTACGGTACCAGCTCCGATCCCTCGGAGCAGTGATACCAGCTCCAACCGATCCCTGGGAGCAGCGGCACCAGCTCTGATCCCTCGGAGCAGCGAAACCAGCTCCAACCGATCCCTCGGAGCAGCGATACCAGCTCCAACCGTTCCCTCTGAGCAGTGATACCAGCTCCGATCCCTCGAAGCAACGATATCAGCTTCAACCGATCCCTCGGAGCAATGATACCAGCTCCAACCGATCCCTCGGAGCAGCGATAACAGCTACAACCGATCCCTCGGAGCAACGGTACCAGCTCTGATCCCTCTGAGCAGCGGTACCAGCTCCGATTCCTGGACTCAATCCGAATATTTTGATTGAATGAAGTTGTGGGGTCGGCACCCACGCTGGTCAGTGATTGTTACGTTAACCCTGACCCTAACATTCGGTCGCAAAATCTGGGTCCGCTGTAGAACTCTGAGACAAAAGGTTGACGCGTCGCATTGCTCGGTACGGTCCGTCCTGTGCACTGACGTCACCGGAATCCATCCAAGAATCAGAATCACCAGAATCCATCCAGATTCACCAGAATCCATCCAGAGTCACCAGAATCCATCCAGAATCCATCCAATCCACTGACGTCACCAGAATTTTAGCGCGGCCGCTGCCACCGGTCTCAGGCCATCCCGGTCAGGGTGCAAATAGCGAGCACCTAAAGCGACCCGAACCCACCCAGTCATGTATGGGTGAAGCGGAAGGCCAACTGAGCTACCGGAACGGACAACATCTGCGTCACACCACCTTTGGGGTGTGACTTGGAGTTTGCATGCAGCGTATGCGGCCTTGGGGTCTCCGTGAGGACTTCTTAAAGTTGTGACTAGTTGCAATGCTCTTGCTGGCCGCTCAGGACTCCACGTCAGTGTGGGCGCGCCGACCTTGTAAACCGTTGGGCGGTCTAACCGATGAGTCACGAACTATTTGTAATCTGAATGCGTTATTGTCGTATGTGCGAAACCGAGCACCAACACGAACATGTCCTGGACTGCTGCCGCTAGTGATGTCAGCCGGGATCTAACGATTTGGTCGACCAAAACCTTATGTAACCGATTCGATTTTCGGCTGATCAGTCTGTAATGCACATTTGCCTTATGCAACCAATTTGATTTTCGGCTGGCCACAATCTGTAATGCACATTTACTTTATGCAAACCAATTCGATTTTCGGCTGATCACAATCTGTAATGCACATTTACCTTATGCAAACCAATTCGATTTTCGGCTGATTACAATCTGTAATGCACATTTACAAAACGTATGGCCAGATTTTACGCATAGATGAGCTCTTTATTGGAACCAAACAGGATTACAGCAAGATCTGGAGACATCGAAATGCATTGTGGCGAATATTCACCAGTTACTTCAAAACCTAGCATAATTCCTGTGGCTAAGCAATGCGCTCAGCGCGGTGAGCTATGTGAATCGTGAACAGAGTGGTCAATAGGCAATCCTGGCGTCACTAAGCTGCTTCAACCGAATGCCAAGTTGAAGAAAATATTATAACTTCTGTTTATCTCTCACAAGCCACAATCTGAAAAAATCGGTGGTGGTGCCATTTGAAGTGTCCTTGAGAGGCACGCTGCCGCAGGCAGTGATTAAAAGACTTGAAAGTGATTGAAACAAATCAAAAGTGACTGAAAGTGGTCAACATGCCAGGCTGTAAATTGAATGCTGCGTACCCAGATCATGTCAAACCCGATGTGAAACACATACCGATGACATGCATGCGTGTCACCCGAATATTAAACACATGCACGTGTGCTTTGACAGCGCGAACAGCTTTATCTACATAGACTTCATCTACAGAAGATCTACATAGATTCACTTCATCTACGCGGATTCAGTGAGCTGAGGGATAGAGCCACTTACATGTTTAACCCAGCGAAACTAGACACGACAGGTTCCCCCGACTGAACTGGGCGAGCACCAGCATGGCCAGGCCCGGACAGCCTTGGCCGGCGCAGTCCTGTCCCAGCGGAGTTCAAGGGCAGTGCGGTGTCAGTCAGACAATGCAAACAAAGTACAGTGATTCATCCCACCCCTTCTCCCTTCTCCGAATCACTGCGAATGATCCCGCGCCTGTGTCGCAGCTTCACGGACAGACAGAGCAATTCATTTCCATAGTGCATAAGTGTGACACCAGGAAGTGTTCACCTGGGGATTTTGACCACGTGACGCTGACGTCACGCCAGCTGACCGAGGTCAGCACAGCGCTGCCGGCTTCAGCAGCATCCAGATCCGAGGAAGCGATGCTCCACCGGCGGCAGCGCCACCGCCGGCGCGGTGGGGCTCAGGCCGACGCCACCAGCGGACCTTTGTAAAGTGAATAATTTCAGGCACTATCCTATCATTTTCCGCGCTGCAAGTTACACCAATAGAATGCACAGCATCGCTGCTTGAGAAAATGTTCCCATTATTCGAAACATGTATCTATACTAGACGGCGGCATACTGCATCTGGCCGCTAGCCGCGTGGTCTCCTGCCGAGGCGTAGCTGGCAAAGACCTTTCGTAACAGCCGTTGTCGCGGCCTCCAGCCTCCAGGTGGATGGCTACATTTGCTCGCAATCTACTATTGTCATGTTCGACATAATCTTTGTTTTTCTTTTGAAAACAATATGTGTAGCAGTCGGCTGAAACGAGCGTGTGAAAAACGTCGATTTTTGACGCATGTTGCATCTTTACAAAACCGGAGCACCAGAAACAGCATTAAAAGCGCATAATGTAATACAGATAGGTTCCAGTTAAACACATCATCAGCAGGGCTTTGCCCATGAACGGAATGGCGAAATGAAAAGGAGAAACTTCCACATGGTGGCTGTATGCTCGGATTGCACCTTCTTCAGAATCTGAGTATAAAATCGTTAAAAACCGTGTCTTTGAAGGCAGCCGTATTGAGTGGTGGTTGATCTTCTTACTCAGGTGCTGAATAAGGCGCAAGTCGGATCCTTAACCATTGTTTGGATATTTTCCACCTCCTTGCTACCTCTCCAATCGTGAGCAAAGACCACTTTATGTATTCAATTGTATTTTCCCACTATGCTCATCAAGCCAACCATCACTGAGTGTACAAAAATAGGTCCCATCTCATATTCAAGCTTATTTCAAGTTTTGCACATACCATTGGCGCAGTAAGAATTTCAATGTTCAGTCTCATACCCGGTAGCTAAGACTCTGTGGTCAATGGCAGGCTGCGTGTGTGGTGCGTGCCCAAACGCCGCGCTGCCCCGTCACATCACTGTCACCGGTGGCCCGGGGCTGTTTATGGCCGGGCTGTGATGAGCTGTGCGACGCCGCACAGCGCCTCACCGAGGTGGCCGCACAGCCCTGCTGTTGAGATGGGGTGGGTGGGAGGTACCTCAGGTCATGTTTCTCTTACTTCGTTTGTACATTGGTTCATTTGTTTATTTATTTGAATTATTTGAACCATGCATTCATTGCGTGCGTGTCCTCAGATCCATGGCACATATTCTCATTGGGGCTTCATGACGCACTTAGCCGGTGAGGGCGGTGTCGCGTGCCACTCAGCCTGGCAGAAAGGGCGTGCACCGCGGGGAATCGAAACCTGTTCCTCTGGCTTTCCAGACGCGCAGCTTAGTCACTACGTGACCATTCCTACTTAGCCACTAGCTTAGCTTAGCCACTGCATAACTCATGGCCCTTTCAGCTGGTTGTCCAGCTTCGTGGGGTGCATATCATCAGTTATGTTAGTGCTCTCTGGTCTGGTGGGTGCTGTCTTGCGGTCGGCAGCAGCTGATATAAGGATGGTTGTAACTTCGTACGTCTTGGCAGCGACACCTTTGCACATATACTTGTATAGGACACGCAAGCCTACTTTCGTTGCTTTATTTATGACGGAGAAAAATACGTCCCGGTTGTGCCCATGTTGCGCGCGTATCAAAGCTAGGTAGCGTAGCTGCTTTTCCTACAGATGATTGAAAGCTACAGCTGCAATTGTATTTATTTTTGTTTGGACCATTACCTGCATCTACTCCAATTATAAGGAGTGGAGGTACCCCCCACCCAACCACCCCACCCCAACAGCAGGGCTGCGCGGCCACCTCGGTGAGGCGCTGTGCGGTGTCGCGCAGCTCAGCTGAATGTCCGGCCATAAACAGCCCCGGGCCACCGGTGACAGTGCTGTGACGGGGCATGGCGGCGGTGGGGCATGCACCACGCGCGCAGCCTGCCATTGACCACAGAGTCTTAGCTACCGGGTATGAATCTGAACATTGGAATTCTTACTACATCAGTGCCACAAATGAATCAACGTACAAAAGAAGCAACGTGCCCAGAAAACAAAACCGTTCAAATCTGTCAAATAAATGAACAAACGAACTGAGATACAAAGGGGGTAAAGGGGCATGGAAACCACAGCCTGCATGGGTATTTATTGCCTGAAAGACCATATGGCACAGAACACTACCGGCAGACACATTCATCTGAATTACGCCGAGCATGACACACGGCGCGAACTATGTTAAGGGATTCTTGTGGTGATGCAAATCCCCAAATCATCGAGTCCCATATGTTCAGATTTCCAAGTCATTGTCCAAAGTTGGGGTGGGGGGGGGGGGGGCTAAGATGACTGCGCGTATCGTCCATTCCTTGGCAGCTGCGGCACGCCTCTGGTGGCGGGTGGTCGTATTAGCGGCGGTAGGTCACTCCCGGGCCCTTCCCACGTTGGGCCGATACCGGCGGCTGAGTACCTCTCTTGCCGACACTCCCCACCCCCTCGCGGTCGGGCCGGTCTGCCTGGGTGTTTCTCTTGCCAACATTCCCCACCCCCTCTGGCTGGTTCATGCGGCCTGAGCACCTCCCTTGCCGACCCTCCCGGGCCGCTGCAGCGCGGCCTCTAGTTAACCTCGCGTGAGCCCTGCGGACCTCCGGCCCGCCCGACAACACGAGGAAGCGCGATAATGCATGGTCATCGCTGCAGATAGCATGCTGAGTGAAACGTGTAGCCTCTCTCTGCAATGGCCCGCGCCGCAGAATAGATGGGTTAACAGATCGTTATTCAGGGTGTAGCTCTTCATCAGGCACCACCGGAGGCTTTGTTGAACGAGCTTATGGCAGGGGCTCATTGTACCTGTGCTAAATCAATGCAGTAACTCAGTAGGTGTGCATACCAAGGGCGTGTACAGGATTTGCTTCAGGAGGGACACAATTCCTAACAGGAAGAAAGGGTTAGTGGCAGATGGTTGATCTTTCTGTGAAAGGCATGTCATGAATCCAGAGCATATGAGGGTGGGCGTGTCTCGTGAATCTAATAAATCAAAATGAGTGAAGCCGCCAAATCCCGGCGGTGCCAACATTTCCCACAATATCAAGGGGATTCAAGCCTAAGAAGACACTCGTAACTTCCAGGAAGATCCAAGCACATCTCCCCCAAGGCTCTTCAAATTACACTCGACCTGGGAGCACCCGGTCCACGACCTCAGGAGCCAGACCGGGGCTATTTCCGTAGTACACACACGTCTGCTTGCCAGCAATCGGAGGCCTGCACCTGTGTTGTCGCACGAGCTCTATATCCCAAACGCGAGGCAAATGAGCCTCCCTGGCCACCAACCCCGCGTTGTGAAGACGCTTTAAGCATTTTCATCCTGCTACTGCAGTTGTATTGTAACGAGAGCGAAGTCGCGGGCTGCATGCGTCCTGACGTCGACCCAACGACAGGTTTGTAGCTTCGGCGATCCGGCTCGGACAGTGACGTTTCTGAAGGGATTATGTCTGGCAACCGTTGATCCCACCACCATGGTGTTTTCATAAACAATTAACGGAGTTCCTTACAGGCCGGCTGTATTGTTCCAAACGCATTTAAATCCGCGCTGATGTTTGACCAGACAGCGTATTTCGGCGTGTCACAAGATCAGCACCGTTTCGACTCCACGTTCGATGAACATATGAAAATGTAATTGTTATGTCTCAAAAAGTTCAAGAACATGGTTTGCAAGTAGTTCCAAAATTTTGCGACCAGGCGTCGTAGCGACAGTGCGGTCCCAGGACTCCTCGAGTCATCAGAGCACCAGTAACGGACCGGGGAGAAGCCAATGTCACCGTCCCAAAACCGAACTCAGATACTGCACGCTGTGTCCTATCCCATAGCAGACTGGTTTACACAAACTACATGGGCACACAGCCATGTTTGCTGTGACTAATTTCCACTGAAGACAAGAGCGTTTTCCTACAAAACTTTCATCACAAAAGCTGAACTACTCCAACTATTCCAGACATGTCGATGTTCTCACTTTCAAGTGCCATACCTTAGCAGATCTAAATTCAGGCAATATTTCAGTGATATATTTTGATGATGTGTTCACAAACATCAAACGTCATGAAAACAGCATGTTTCAATGCACTCCAATGATTTCTATCCATATGGTTTCCACAGGGCGACGGGCTTCGTTTGGTTATGTTTGGATGTCATTATATGAATATAGCAATAATCTCTGCTAACATCTCGCTCATGCCACCCCGCAAAAGGGGCTTATTTGCGATGAGGTTCGTCGCCTCGACCTCTAGTGGATTCGAAGGTGCTGGTCTAAAGTCGCAAAGTCACGACTTGATCAGATGTAAATGAGGGACAGGTGGGTCTTTCAGCTCGTGCTTGTTGCATACCACGTCCATCGTCTGGCCGGCGACGGACCAGCGGTGGGTCGGCCAGCCGGTTGAGACAGCTGACGCCCAACCGAGTGCGGGCGGTGCCTCCGATCACTGGCTAAATCGACACATTTCGCCTGACTCCGAAGCACACACACAATCACTCTATATAAGCCAATTTTGTTAGAGAGGGGGTACCTATTGTTATTAGTTGACAAAGTGGTCTTTAGGTTTCATTAAAACATGTTTTTGAAATGTGGCCTAAACGTGGCAGATAGCATTTAATGTGTGAAAAATGGCTGCGGTGTAGCAATGCAGCAAAACGACTGCACGACTGCAGTTTACACTGATGTGCCCTCCTCACCCTCCCCCCCCCCCCCTCCCCCTCCTCCGACGTTCGAGACGCTCACCACCGGCACCCTCTGAGCTACAGCTCCTGCTTCAGGCAAAGGGCGTGCACAGCCACCCGCGGCCCGAAGCCAAGTCGACGGCGGAGGCTCGCCGCTCGGTGGGTTCGGCGCGACGGCCCCGGCACGCGCCGCGCATCCCGCCGGTGGCGCCGCCTGCCGCACCCGCCGGCAAACTGCTGGAGAGGGCGCTGCTGGGCGGCGACCGACACCCGCCAGCCGCCTCCTGGCACGCCGACGGTGAGCAACGGGAAAGAGCGGTATAGTAGACGAGACGCGGTCATTGTAATGGAGGCAGGGAACAGCTGCTTGTCATCAGTTATTGTCTGGCATTAAATGTGAAATAACGCCATCAGTTGTCTGGAAACACGCCAGAATACTCCACAGCCCACACCATTGTATGGTTTCATGTGAATATAGAACTTGGGTATAAAACAGTCTGTAGAAACTTAATTACTTCCGATTTGTTATGCTAAGGCTCAGTTAGTTTCATTAATTTTAGTTAGTTTTAGTTAATTTTAAGTAGTTTTAAATATAAAACCGATACATGCAGGCTTTGTCTCAAATGCAATACAAAACACGGCACTCGCTAAGACCGCGCAGGGGCAGATGCGATATCGTACCTAGGAGTGCTACGGATTCGTTCTGGGCTTGCGCAAGTCTCAAATTGGATGCCAATGCACTGAACAAAGCAAACATGACCTGACCGTATCTTGCACGCCCATGGGCGGACGATTTATGTTACTTTGGACAGGTAACTATGCGATCTGAGGGAAGTTGGCTACGCTTGCTGTGCAAGGGGCATGTGCATCGTCACCTGGGAACAGAGGGGAGGGGGGCGGGCAGGGAGTCTATTGCCTTCTAGCCTCTTGCGTTTTCCTAGCGTCACCGGCGAACCTCCTGCGTTAAATTCCCTTTCAAGCTCGGCGGTCGTGCTCCCTACACTGTGACCCAGTTTGTACCACGCTTGAACGTTGGCTTGCTGTGCCTGGCGTCGAATCCCCGTGACGCCCTTTGCGCGGTGTGTGCAGCAACTTGTATAGGCAGTTTTTTACTTGAAAAAACTTTTAAATTCGCTCAAACTTAAGCACGCGGCAAAACACCGACTTGAGCAGATCATGATTACTGGGTTTGACAGAGTGGTTTATTTCAGACACGTCGTGGAACATGTGCTCCTGCCCACCGTTCGAGTGCATGTGCCATTGGAGTGGCTCCAGCCCGGCTCCTGCCTACCAGGAGCCAGCACCAGCCCCTCCTCCAGTCTCCATTGCAAACCCAGGAGACTGGATGACCACGGCTACTGCCACCTGTTGGCAGCCTCTGGAAACAGAAGTGCGCTACAATCTCCGCTCGGATGTGGAGAGCTGCCCTTACGAGAAGGGCGCTCTCGTGGAGGAGCGGAGCCCGTATTGCAGCGAGGGCGACGCGGACGGGTTAGCTGAATACATGTGGGACATAACAGTGGGACAGAACGGCGAGGCCTCATACGTGAACTACGCGGCGGACCCGAGCATCGAGTACGGTACGACGTTCGGGACGCCGGCGCTAGGGCTACCACCTGACGGCCAGTTCCTGAACCACATCGACATGTCGCAGCCGGGCGACATCTTCGCGCTGGAGCAGCCGCTTATGAAGGCCGAGGAAGAGCTGGCGCCGCTGCTGCCGTCCGTGGCGGCGCCGCTGACGGCGACCGAGCCGGCCTGGGAGCCCCAGGCCGGCCCGCTAGGCTGCGTGTCGGGCGAGCCCCCCTACCTGAGCCACCCCGGGGGCCAGGGCGTCGGCGTGTGCCTGCGGGAGGACACGGGTGTCGGAGGAGCGTTGGCCGGCGCTCAGGAGGTCATGTATTATCCGCTGGAGCAACAGCTGATCGCCGGCTGGTGATAACCGGGCTGGATGAGGAGTCTGTGATGTGAAACGCACCCGATCTGAGCCGCCGTAGGTCTGCGACTGCTTCCCCACCTGTTTCCTTGCTTTGCATCATATATTTTTGTCCATACGATTTTCGGTTCGAAAGTGTGATTTCGTCGATGTATAAGATGCGTTGCATGGTGTATAGATTATTTCATTCTTCAGTGTTTTTTTTATTTCACGTCAGTTATGATGCTTCCATTTGTTCCCGCATGCTGTTTTTCTGTGATCTCATTTGAGCGCTGCACTGAATGCCTTTCACCCTTGTAGTGTCTATGTACCTTCACTGAATGCAGCCTCGGTTGACTGTATTTATTGTATACGTGAGTGTTACTGAACCCATATACACCGTTCGTTGTCTGCTTCGTCCCGTTATCTAGTCATAATGCAACGGGATTTAGAGTGTCTTTTGAGAGAGACATGGTTGTCAGAAAGCTGTGCTGCTTTGCGATCAATATAATGCGTTTGTGGTAGTTCATCCGTTGTCTCTGGGAAGGGACCTTACCCTTTTCACCAAGCGTATGTGATATGGATCCCGTTTAATATAGTGGACGCCGCTACAATACACTGAGGTGGGCAGTGATCTCATGCAGTGTCCTTTAAAAGGCCAGATGAATGGTGTGACAGCGTGATTGTATGTGTTCATGATGTGATCGCCAACAGGAACAGCACTCAATTTTATACGTGCTGTGTTACAAAGACCGGGCTGTATGCAATGCACAGTGTCAAAACAAGAGTGTGCGGATGCATATAGCATGTCAGCAACTGGTCGCTCAAACATAAACGCATGAGCAGTGTGGAAAAAACCAGAAGGTGAGGTGTAGCGAGGGCCGTCAGCTTAACGAAACGGCGCGCAGCGGATTTACAGGTAGCAACGGGAGAACTCCACGCAAGGGCCGAGGCGGAAGAAGCTGATCCATAAGACCAGAATCCGCTGAAAAGGTGAGCCTTGAATGGTGGGAAATGATAATTGTGAGCTTGATATTCACGTTTTTTTTTCGTTGGAGCGTGTAAATGAAGGGAAGGAAAATATTTGAGCCATCCAGCTCACTTTAAAACCATTAACGAATCCATCTGAGCCTTACCATAACAAATCGGAACAAATTAAGTTTCTACAGAATATTCTATACCCAAGTTCTATATTCACATGAAACCATACAATAGTGTGGGCTGTGGAGTATTCTGGCGTGTTTCCAGGCAACTGATGGCATGCACAAGCGGCTGCTCTCTGCCTCCATTACAATGACCGCGTCTCGTCTACTATACCGCTCTTTCCCCGTTGCTCACCGTCGGCGTGCCAGGAGGCGGCTGGTGGGTGTCGGTCGCCGCCCAGCAGGAGGCGGCTGGTGGGTGTCGGTCGCCCAGCAGGAGGCGGCTGGTGGGTGTCGGTCGCCCAGCAGGAGGCGGCTGGTGGGTGTCGGTCGCCGCCCAGCAGCGCTCTATTGAGCAGCAGTCATTATCCAGCCGGCCCTGAAAACACGTCTTAAATTGACTTGAGGTCATGAAGGTGCAGGCGTGATTTCAGAGAAAACTTCGAAGGCTTGCAGGATATGAGAGCAGTTCAGATTTCTAAGTGAGATTGCTGAGGAGCAGCGCGGCCAGATCAAGGTTTTGCGTTGGATTCTCCTTCCAACTACACAAGGTGAGTCTCGGCTGCTCACACCAGAACACGCCGCCATATTGGCCCGGCGAAACAACACACCGCCATATTGGCCCGGCGAAACAACACGCCGCCACATTGGCCCGATGAAACAACACGCCGCCGTATTGGGCCGGCGAGCGTACATGTATCGAATATACAAAGCTGGCCGGTGTCTGTGTGAAAGGCCGGCACAGGTGTCGCTCTCAGATCACGATTTTTACTACGTTGTTACCTGAAATCACACAAGCTGATGAAAATCTGGGCTTGAGCCACGCGAAAAACGGCATTGGAGAGCTCACATCAAGCTGCATCTGATAGTTGTGACTAAACAATGGCGAGAGTAAGCTTTGGCAGGTCAAATCTGGACATAGGGACAAATTAGCACTTGCTCCTGCACCGCTCCTGTTGTATCAAAAACTAAACATGATCTGATTGTTCGGAAGACGGCATTGAATAGCTCTTATAGATATTCGCCACATATGTACAAGAGGACACCCACACATGTGACCTGGAATACGTCATGCCAGGTCAGAGAGTGAAGGCGATTGTTGCGCTGACCCCTTCAGCTATAAACAAAACAAACAAGCCACATTAATGGGGAGAAAAGCTTTGCCAATGCTTTATAGACCTGTAAGGTATGTGCCATATATATTTAGATTGTGTGACCTCCAAAAGATTAAATCTGGTCCCAAACGGTAGAGTTTGACCTAACTTGACCTTGAATGAATTCACAGAGGAAAAGTTACTAGAATGATTGCAAATGCAATTCAGAATACTGTAGATGATCAATGAGCACATAAAACATCTTTGAAGTGCATGCAATTCAAGAATTAAGCGTTATTCTTCATTTTTGACCGCAATGCGTTAGCTCCACGAGTTTCACTTATGCTTTAAAGTTATAAGATACTTATTTTATCGGACCGCTGACCAAGGGCAGTTTTTGTCCAAGCATGTCGGGCCAAAATGTGAGTGACCTCGAAGCACTCTGACCGCGCGCTGTAATCTGGTCATGTTGGGATATTTATAAGTGGCTTGCCTAACGATCTTGCTCCTTGAGTTTCCAATGATATATTATGGTCATCATGTGTCATTGACCCAGCTTGATCTTAAACTCCTGATCTTGGTAGCATCATCTCTTGTATTGCGTGAGTTGTCGGGTTTTAATGACGTTATCCAAAAGCATTGCTTATCAGTGGCATTTTGTCGTCAGATGTCACCATAGTTCACTAACCTCACTTGACATTGCTGTGTCTATTCTGAAGCACCTTGAAACATGTAGTAGATATCGGTTCTCATAGATATCCGATATCTGTGTATCGGACAAGCACATAGTAGATATCGGTCCCATTTTCTATTTTACTTCATAGTGCCACTTACACCTCGAAGTGAAAACGATACACCAAGTATATCATACTGGAATAGTGACCACATTGGCCATACATGGGATTCGACCAATGGTATATATACATTTCTTAAAGCGTACTATATAGGCAATTTTACATCAAAAGGCCCAAGGTACATGTTTGGAGAGAAATAAATCTGATGAGAACGGAAAATATAACTTACAATACAAATATGCTGCATAAATAATTTGAGTATATGACATTGGAAAGTTACAATTGGCGATATACCGAGAAGAACGCCCTCGCTGAAACGAAGCACCTGCTGGCCTGTGCGCCGGTCCTGGTGCACTACCCAACAGATGGGCAGCTAGTGGTAACCACGGACGCCAGCCCGGTCGGCGTGGCCCCTTGGGAATGCTACGTTAGGAGATTGCAAAAAAATGATGAATATTATTCTGGCTTATTTAGTTGTCTTCCATTTATGTGAGTCTGAAGGCAAGGTGTTTTATGCATGAAAGTATAACTTGCCCTGATTTGACCTAAAGCCCGATCTCAAAGACTGACATGGTCTCAGCACATGTTGTTTTGTTTTGCATGAACTATCGAATGATGCTTTGTCCGTATACATAACCCTTTGCAACTCAAAAACATCAGAAAGGAAGGAGGTGGCACGTAAATTCCCTCTCCGCTAGGGGGCAGTGGGCCCAAAGCAACGTCAATGCCCCGGTAACATCGCATTGTTAAGCTTTTTCACGAGACACTCATTTTTGACCTTATGTCATTTGTCTCAAATGCGGATTTAAATCCCAGTGACGTTCTGCAGGCGTAAGTCACGTGCGCGTACACAGTCGGATCCTCTGAAGTCGCCAACGGAGTGCTCCCGGCGAGACGGTGAGAGACACCGCCTAGCCGCCCAGACCTGGCAGGCTGAGCACATACTGGTGACGGGCCCTGGTGATCAAGGGGCGGCCGCGCAGGGACAGGTGGAACTCGATAATGCTGAAGATCACGCCGTATGCCTCCGTGTCCAGCTGGCTGTAGTTGTGCTCGACGGCACAGAGGCCGTGGCTGGCGTGGGGATTGCCCAAGGAGGCAGCCACGCCGTCCCCGCTGTCAGCGTCGGGACTGCTCAGGGCGGCAGCCACGCCGTCCCCGCTGTCAGCGTCGGGACTGCTCAGGGCGGCAGCCACGCCGTCCCCGCTGTCAGCGTCGGGACTGCTCAGGGCGGCAGCCACGCCGTCCCCGCTGTCAGCGTCGGGACTGCTCAGGGCGGCAGCCACGCCGTCCCCGCTGTCAGCGTCGGGATTGCTCAGGGCGGCAGCCACGCCGTCCCCGCTGTCAGCGTCGGGACTGCTCAGGGCGGCAGCCACGCCGTACAAGCTAGCGTCCGTGGGCGTCACGAGCGGCTCATCTGGTGGGTAGTGCAGCAAGGCCGGTACAGAGGTCAGCGGGCGCTTCGTTAGCTAACGCGTCCGTCTCGGTATATGTTCAGGTCCAGACAGCGTCCCTCCCTTGCCCGGCATACAGGGCAGCGTCAGCGAGGTGCGCGGGAAGCAGCTGTAGGACTGTGGCACTCCCAGGTGGGAGTGCGGCTGTAGGACCGCGGCACTCCCAGGTGGGAGCGTGGCTGTAGGATTGCATCATTCCCAGGTGGGGGCGCGGCTGTAGGACCGCGGCACTCCCAGGTGGGAGCGCGGCTGTAGAACCGCGGCACTCCCAGGTGGGAACGCGGCTGTAGAACCGCGGCACTCCCAGGTGGGAGCGCGGCTGTAGAACCGCGGCACTCCCAGGTGGGAACGCGGCTGTAGGACCGCGGCACTCCCAGGTGGGAGCGTGGCTGTAGGATTGCGTCATTCCCAGGTGGGGGCGCGGCTGTAGGACCGCGGCACTCCCAGGTGGGAGCGCGGCTGTAGGACCGCGGCACTCCCAGGTGGGAGCGCGGCTGCCGCAAGCTGACGGGCTAGGGGGCTTCTCGGACCGCGCGACCCTCCTCTTGCGCTGGTTAAACGTTTGTCTTGCAAAGCTCTGTAGCCTAGGTTCTCGACTCCGTCGGCGAAGCGAGCCTCACGCAGTTTGTCTCGTCGATCTCCAGGCGATCTTCCGAGACGCGCTCCAGCACCAGGGCTCCGCGCACACGGGGCGCGCTCCAGGACCAGGGCTCCGTGCACGCGAGATGCATTCCATCACCATGGCTCCGTGCACGCGAAGCGCGCTCCATCACCAGGGCTCCGCGCACGCGAGACACGCTCCAACACCGTGGCACCGTGCACGCGAGACACGCTGCAACACCAGGGCTCCGTGCGCACGAGACACGCTCCAACACCGGGGCTCTGTGCACGCGAGATGCATTCCATCACCATGGCTCCGTGCACGCGAAACGCGCTCCATCACCAGCGCTCCGCGCACGCGAGACACGCTCCAACACCGGGGCACCGTGCACGCGAGCCACGCTGCAACACCAGGGCTCCGTGCACACGAGACACGCTCCAACACCGGGGCTCCGTGCACGCGAGCCACGCTGCAACACCAGAGCTCCGTGCACACGAGACACGCTCCAGGGCCAGGGCTCTGTGCACGCGAGACGCACTCCAACACCAGGGCTCCGCGTACTCTAGACGCGCGCTCTGCTGGTGTTGAGCTGGTGGCAGAGATGTCCACATGAGCCGCCATACTTGGGATGCCCTCGCTGCTACGGCGACACGGTGTGTCGGGGAGCGCCGCGGCCCCCTTTACGCCACATCACAGGCGTGATTGCTGGAACAGGCCTTCGTGGGTGTCGATGGCCAGATATCGCATCGTGGGCTCGTCCAGCTCGGCATGTAGGTAGGCTTCGGCCGGGATCAGCTTGGTAAGCATTCCCGCACCAACAGTCTTTTGAACAGCTCGTCCACCCGAGGCTACCCCTAGAGCTGGGTGGTGACGTTCTCAGACAGGTCACAGCTGCCGCACAGACACACGCCCCCGCAGCCCAGTGTTCTGACAGACATGGCCGGTCCCTGTATTGAGACGTCTTTATCGGTCTCACCATGTTCGCGCTGACTTGGAGGTCAAGATGGCTGTGGTAGCTTCTTTGAGGGCGAGCAGCGGTGGCCCATACCCGAAACAGCGCAGCGACACGCCCTTGTTCCCAGTCGCTGGAGCAGCCCAGTTCCGGCTCGAACAGGCCACTGTACAAGTGTTGCAGATCTTTGCACGTGTTTGGCCTGGACTGAAGTCACGCCTGGTGAAACCTATTTTCTTAAAACAGCACTCATGAAGCCTTTACGGGCCTGAGTAAATGACTTCTTGCGAATGCAATGGCTCGTGGCGTCACGACCATATGGATATTGCTGCTCCTTCTGCCTCATGCTTTATCAGGGACGATTCGGACGGCTGTTCGTTGCGAGCGTCAGACCACCGTTATCGTGCACCAATGCTGCTAAACTGGGTCCCGTGCAACAAAGCGAAGCAACTGATCTCGCCAGCAGAAGACCCCACGACTCTCGTGGTCCACACCCAGCGTCACTTGGGCTGCATTTGAGGAGCCAGCGCCAGCTTTCCTCCCCGGAGTGGAACCCTGGCCCGTCCTAGCGTCGCATTGTCTGGTTAACTGGGTTACGAGGCGCATTATCCGCGTGACGACCCGGCCTTGGACGCCGATGCCACGGTGACGGATCACTCGTAATTACTCACCCATTCACTACGTGGGCTTCTTCACACCGCTGTCATTGGACCTACCAGCATCGTTCCGTTAAGTAGATTCATGCGAGTCGCCTGCGAACTCCAGTCTGGGGCTCGAGGGCCCAGTGCTGCATTACCCAACAGGGGACCGGACGGCATATGCTGGCGAGGGAGCGATGCATGAACGGACACTGCTGCATTTGCACGGCTCGGCTTCGTCGGCCCGGCCGACCAGGTGAGCCTAGTTCGCCGCCCCACCCACAGGCTGCACCACTGTCCATGGCAACCGTTTGTTGACGTTGGGAGCCATGTGACAACAGTTGTGCCCCGGCTCCGGAGGGGAGCGCACGTCGTGGTGTGGGGAGTGCTGTCAGAACATCGACAGTGGACCAATATAGGACCGGTGCGGTCCGCACCCCGCACAGGGGCACCGATCGGTGACTGGTGAGTGACCTGGACAAGTTTGGGCTTAGGCCCTTTGGACTGGGGGCGTAACCCCACCATGAAGTTGGTCGTAGCTCGAGCCTTGTTGACGCCGCTTTTATGGCCAAAACACAACATATGCAATAACCGCTCTTCCCAGAACCTGCCTTGGTCCCGGCCTCCCCGGGCCCCGTGGCGGTTAGGGCCAAGCCTGCCATGCCATGACGTGCCACCGGACATGGCATGCCATGCCATGACATGGCACCAGAGCCCGGAACGCACAGAAACTGAGACCACCCCAGAAGCAAATAGGGGCCACCTATTGACATAATGGGACGTAAGTCATCCCCAGATTATGTCGTCATCAGGTGGCGGCGACGTTGGATGTCGCTATCAGTTAACATCAGATGACGGTGATGTTCAGCATCATCGTGCTGGCTGCACGGCGGTGCCGCAGATAGGCATCATAGCACGCATAGCAAGGCCCAGACCCTGCAGGCGTCACTACTATGATATACATGGGGGGCTTGATGTCAATCTCATCAAGCGCTTCGACCAGGCGTCATACAAGGTGCATGAAGCGGGGCATCTCACTGAGGATTCGGTATGGGATGATCGATGGCAGCACCAGACGTCGCCCCTGATGCGATCGTCAGTGATCAGCATCTGGACCACTTGCATGTCCAGTTCCAAATGACCAGGATGTGTGATCGACCTCTCGCGAGAGGTGTCTTACCCTGTCGGCGCCAGAACAAACGACATCTCTTTCCGGAAGCGTTAGGAAAGAAAACTGGCAGCTCGGATTATGCCATCTGAACAGTACGATCACTCTAGATAGCCACGCTGTGTAGTTCTCTCCCCCCCCCCCCCCCCCCCACAAAGTTGTTAAGCTCGGGCTGGCCTCTAATCTCCGTGAGCCCGCCGGCCCGCACGCCGCGCTCGTCCTTGTGGTGATCCCCCAGCTCTGATGAGCGGTGGCAATGCGCCATTGGTGACATTCTATAGTATGGCTGTCCTGGCTCATTGTGCTTTGACAGCCGCTTTTGGCGCAGAAAAGGCATGTCGTTAAGGTTCAAGTTATTTGTCATGATCGTTCATGGCATGTTGAAATAATGGTTGCAATGTTCGGTGTTCTGATCTCAACAATGGTGTTTGTGAGCCATTCCCAAATTTCTTCGCGGTTTCGAATATAAGTCACAAGATTGTGTATTCTATTTACACATGCTGCTAGCTATTCCATCGTGTTTGGCGAACCTTTAAGGGTCCATTGCCAACGAGTTTGGAGTCCTAGAGGAGGCGATCTGCACCGCAGTGTCGATGCGGTACTAGTGTACCGGGCTGCACCGCGGTGTCGATGCGGTTCTAGTGTACCGGGCTGCACCGCAGTGGCGATGCGGTACTAGTGTACCTGACTGCACCGCAGTGTCGATGCGGTACTAGTGTACCGGACTGCACCGCAGTGTCGATGCGGTACTAGTGTACCGGACTGCACCGCAGTGTCGGTGCGGTACTAGTGTACCGGACTGCACCGCAGTGTCGATGAGGTACTAGTGTACCGGGCTGCACTGCAGTGTCGATGCGGTACTAGTGTACCGGACTTCCGTGAGGCCATGCCCAAAACAGCACTTGACAAAAATCTTTAGGCATCCACATAGAAAAGCTTGTTTTAAGACACGTTTCACGAAGGATGTGCCTGAAAAGTCTGCGCACACATTAAACAGACTATCTTTTCCTGCATCGGCCGAGTGATTGTCTCGGTTACACATTTGGCGAACAAATGTGGAGTCCCTGTGCTGACCTCAGTGGTTTTTGTCACTGACCCGACGTTAGTGATTGCGCATGGCAAATACAATTTGTGTGTTTGTGCGTATCCGAACCACCATGCATTCACCTCAATGTTACCAACTTGTGTACAAATTTCGAACATCCTAATGAAACGTGCGAATACCATTCCAAAACCAAGCTGAAAGCTCACCTCTGGTTTGATCTGCTGAAGGATTCCACAGGCACCGACAGTACACCAGAGCAGGCTTAACCGTATTCTGACAAGGCATTGGCAAGCATACTGAGCAAATGTGCAGCCCCTGAAGAACGTTTTGGTCTGAATTTTGGCAGTGCCGTTTGCTGATGAGGTACAACTGTTCATGGTCTGTTGGCTGGCGTGCACTAACCAGTATATGTAGTATAGTGCCCCGGTCAACGGCACTTCAAGAAAGTGCCCGGCCTTTGGGGCATATTTCACGCACGTGCTCCGCTGAAACCAGAGGGTCAGTCACGTGCAGGAATAGCTTTTTGTAGTACCCCTGCAGCACCGTCAAACTACAATGAGGGGACATTTGTTGACTGTTTTCGAATCAAAAGAACGCTCTCAGCGTCTTGTCACAGCACTACACTTCTTCGTTTTTTGGTATCCCCATGACCACGGCAGTTATGGCTGCAGTCGTCATGACAGTAGAATCTGCTGAGGGTCGTCGTTAGCTGTTTTCTACTAGAGGTACCACTTCTGAGCTGTTTTGGCCCTCACACTGTGGGTCTACTGTCTTAAAAGTGGCATCCCTACGAGTATGCATGACGTCAGTACAAGTGATCGCTTGTGAGGGAGATCGCCGAGAAACGCATTGATTGAAATTTGAACTAGTGCGTCACTATATATCATGAGATGCTCCGGTTTCCAAAGCTAGTGTGTGCTTCGAAAAGAACCACTGTTGTGAAAATGGAGAAATCAAAGCCTTGGTCCAACGTTTCGTTGAATATGCGTGATAATAGCTCATTGTTTGCATAACTTTCCTGAAAAGAATGTTTCAAGATTTCCCAGCATTTATCACACAAACATTTTGACGGACTGGTGTATTGCAAGCATAACAGAAGAGGGAAAAACAAGGCAAATAATAGGTATTACTTTCATAGGGGTCAGCAGGGAGTCCAATGAAATTTCTCCCGCCGAAGCGGCTACTTGAAATAAGATTTCTGAGGAATTCAGAACTGATTTTGAGAAAATGGTATTACCTATCAAATGGAACGCCTCTGATATAACACTGAAGCCAAAGCACAGGAAATATTATTTCCCTTTAAATGAAACATAAAAAGGCTATTGCATGTTTCCAAACGACCCACTAATGCTAACATCCTCATTGCGGTATCCAAACACAAATCGAACTTTGAAGTAGAAACAGCTTCACTGTTTAACTCTAACGGCCAAAAATCCTGGAAAGGTGCGGCTGTTAAGCAGTAGCATTCAGCACACACAATTAAGTTGCCACCGTTGGCTGGGTTCGGAAATCATTTAGGGTGTATGTGTGTGTTGAGTATCAATGAATCTTTCTTGAATACAGGTTCACAAAAATGCACCTTTATTAATGATTTATGAACCAAGAATATTGTATCCATACGAAATATTCATGATCGAAGTGGCTAGGCTTTGTTTTAGCCCTGTATTTACTCAGTCCGTGCTCATGCCAGAACTTCGGCTGCTTTAAGGATCACTGTTTGTTTTAAGTTATTTCTTAAAATGATGCAACAAAGGTTAGCGATATCGGCTGTGTTGTTTGCCTGCATTTACCACTGCGGTCTTTATTTCAGTGACTGTTGCTTATAAGAACGTGACAACATCGACAAACACTATGTGAAGACAACTGTCAGCATCGACGAGCTCTGTTACGTTTTGGAAGTTTATTACGATGGCAGCGCAAGACGTGACCTAAGGTCTACAATCTACGCCAAACGAGCATCAGTAGCATTGCACCACCGATGTAAGCTCAGGTAAGAGCATGTCCTGTTTGACTCCAAACCAAATGTTCCGTTCAATGTCACTTAAACTTCCCAACGCCCAGTGTTCCGTTACCTTCTACGCCACGGGGAGAGGGGAAGGGGATTGCGACCGCTTAGCTCATTTTGCAACTCACGAACTAAAGAATAATACAAACTCTTTGGTAGCCCTGCAGGTGAACTACAAGATCTACTCCAGTGATGTTGCAATAACTGGTGCAGTTGACTTGTTCGGCCGGGTTAAGCGGGATCACGCCAGTTCTTTACGCTTTTTAAATAACGTCACACGCGCCGCAAAGCAGAGCTGACATGCAAGTAAGTCAGTTCGCGTTCATTTAGCCACAAGGGGTAATGTGAGGCCTTCTGAAGCTATTCCGTGGCCACCCATAATGCTCCGTATGTGAATGTATGAATTCTTAATGGCACTCAATATCTAAATTCACCTTTATACATTGGGCGGATTTGAAGACTTGAATTGATGTGGCCGTGAGTGCGGAGCCTTTTTACATTGCTTCTCAGTTGATGCGGCTCATAATTTCACAAGTTTGAAAGCTAACTTGACATTATGCCCCAGAAGCTCCCAGGATCTGATCTGCCCACGAATGAGCCAAACGCATGTCACAACCGTTAATGACGTGCATATTTAGCTCCTGTGCACCTTGAGAGCCACTGGATAAGAAGACCGGTGTTCCCAGAGCTAGCAATTTTTTTCTAAAGATTTGATCCGAACCCTTTGAATGGATGGATTTCCGGGATCAGAGCTCACGCTAAGCAGTGCTTGTTGTGTGAGCCCTGACCCCTACCATCTGATCGCGCAATTCCAGGCAACAGCAGAATAATGTGGCCAATAATGTGGCAATGCACTGTAGCACCACGATTTTCCACCTTTGCGCTGTGGAACCTTGTAAACATGCAGACACAAATGATTGTGGGCACCCGCCTACTTACCCTATGCATGACACCGGTACCATTCAATAAATTTGCTCTCTCCACGTAAAAGGATGAGGAAACTTGACTTCGAAATCAGTTCAAGCCAGTTCAAAAATTGTTTTTGGGAGTCCTGTCTGCGCCATGGTATCTGCGTGCCACGTTATGTAGACGCCAGCTTGTCTCTGTTCCCACAACAGAAGCGAAAGCGTGTGACGGCCTCTGTGAATTGGGACGATGTTTCTATGTCATTTTCCATTGTGCTATTTGATAGGTGCACGCATTCTCGCGGCCTAGTCGGCTGACTTGACTTCCTCTTTCAGCCTGCAACAATGGCGGAGTCTGTCAAGGTGCTCGTAAGATGTCGACCGATGAACGGACGAGAGAAGAAGCTCGATTGCGAGGTATGCCAGTCGCATCACATTTTAGCGAGGTGCAGCGGTCGCACACGACACAGAGGGTTGCTCGGTTGCCACACGGTTGGCGCTGTCCGACTGGAGCTGCTGGGCCAGATCGCAAAGCTGGCATTGCTCGGTTATAGCCGCGCCTGTGTCGCATGTTCCTAGATTGGGTTTACGTTAATGAACAAAAGGGCCGGCCACCTCGCAAGAGCCAGGCCAGGATGGTGAGATGCTCAATTTCCAAGGAAAAAGAAGATTTATGGCATGAGCGTACACAATGGGAGCATCCATTGTCTCCATTCACTGGTGGGAGCAGGTTACAACTTGATGGGAGCAGCTCACTGACACTGGTGGGAACAGATCATTTGATGCTGAGAGTAGCGCATCCACTGGTGGAAGTAGGCCGCTTACCATCACCCACTGGTGGAAGTAGGCCGCTCACCATCACCCACTGGTGGAAGTAGACCGCTCACCATCACCCACTGGTGGAAGCACGTCACTTAACTCTGGGTGCAGCTCAGCCACTGCTGGGTGCAGCTCAGTCACTGTTGGGTGCAGCTCAGCCACTGCTGGGTGCAGCTCAGCCACTGCTGGGTGCAGCTCAGCCACTGCTGGGTGCGGGTCATACGCTGGCGGGAGGAGCCCACCAGCTGTTGTGAGCAGCTCACCCACCAGCGCGAGCAGGTCGGCGGTCCTGTCGTACAGCGCCATTCCCTCACCGGTCCAGTGTGCAGCTTATCACCGCGCGAACAGAACGGTCTCCCAGTGGACAGGACCTAGGATGAGCGCGCGTGCGACGACCCCGCCTCTGCTCTAGGCTGCGGCGGGATGGCCGCAGTGCAAATTTTGATGCCTTGCGGGATACCGTGCACCGTACATGGTCCCTGCATTGCGTCTTGTCATTTCCGGCAGACCGCCTACCTGTCTCGGCAGACCACTTAGTTAGCAACCACTGAGAACTGGACCCGACATTTTGAGAGTTTGTAGGGGATGATAGGAGCCCGAAATTGAAAGGCGTAGACAGATCTAACAGAGTGTGCTTTGCTCATCAGAATAGAGTATAGCATTAATGCCGTACTGGTTGCAACATGCAAGTTTTTTGCCTTTAATTTTTTTGTATTTTCCGTATGTATCTGAATGGGTGTCTTTCTTACTGCCTCGGCTTCCTCGTTCACTCAGTTTTCATGACATACGTATATGCGTCCCTGTTGCCTGATTAATTGTTGGTTGATCTTATCTGATTGTGTACTTACATAACGTCCTTCATGTCGCATGAGGAGATGCATCACACTTTTGTAACTTATTCACGAGAAGCGATCTAGAATATAAAGATCTTCCCTTTCGCCTCCCAAAGGGAAACCGTACGCCTTTCGGTGCCAAAATAAACACTTAATTGAATCGCCATTTCCTGGCCCGAAACAGCTATGTCCTAATCTTAACCGCTGTTCGGTCAGGAGCCCAGACTGGGCCTCGCGGGTCGGCCTGGCGTGCATGTACCCGGGGTCGGTCTGGTGGAGACCATTTTGTTTGATTGCTGTGTGATACTCAGGAGACAACCGCATGCGAACAAACCTGCCTGCAGCGCCAGCCGCATGCGAACAAACCTGCCTGCAGCGCCAGCCGCATGCGAACAAACCTGCCTGCAGCGCCAGCCGCGTGCGAACAAACCTGCCTGCAGCGCCAGCCGCATGCGAACAAACCTGCCTGCAGCGCCAGCCGCATGCGAACAAACCTGCCTGCAGCGCCAGCCGCATGCGAACAAACCTGCCTGCAGCGCCAGCCGCATGCGAACAAACCTGCCTGCAGCGCCAGCCGCGTGCGAACAAACCTACCTGCAGCGCCAGCCGCGTGCGAACAAACCCTGCCTTCAGCGCTGCGTAGGGTGTCCTGCGCTGTTTGCTCCACGTCAGTTCGAAAGTATTTGTAGACCTTGGGAAAGTGGGAGAACGTGGTCATGCTGTCAGGTGAGCTGAGGGGCGCCAGTGAGTCACTGTCTGCGTGAACATGAGTCAGTCCCTGCCGATTTTCCCAGCCGCGACCCTGCGTGTATCGATTCTGAGGCGGCTCGGCTGCACCGGTTGTGACGACACGTTTGCCCTTTGACTACGCCGACGGCGGACCGCTGTCAACACTTCCACGAAGGCCGGAGCGTCGCCTGGAGTGACTGAGTGGCGCAGATGGCACGCACGCAGCGTTCGTGGGCAGGCCGTCACGACACGTGCCAGAGAGAATCGAAGGTGTTGCTGCAGGCGGCAGAGGTGCGACACACCCTTCTCACGACCTTGCCGCACCCTCAGTGCGGGAGACAGCACACCGGATGCAGCAGATGACTGTCCCTCCTCGCAACCCCGTGATTTTTGTGTTATTTTGGTAGACGAGCTGCAGTGCTGTCGACGACGGCGTGACTGCTTCTAAAGGGCTGGAGGTCCGCTGCCTGATAATAGTACGGGGGCCAGTTTGGTCACAAGGGTTTCCACCTGGTCAGCTCACAAGCAAGCGCGACATCGGTCAACGAGCCGTCGCCTTAAACCCATAGGTCAATACAACTTGCATGCAATAAGGATTCTTGCAACATGCGCACTGACATTAGTGAATGCTCTGCCATTATTAGGTATTGTTTGTTTCAATGGGAATGAAATGTTTGAATATCACAATTCCAGCGGTAGCACTAGTTTCATTCATTAGATAGATAAAAGAAACCGAACTGGTTGCATTTTTAAGACTGCGGTGCGGTTGTTGCGCAATTATTTGTGTCCGAGTTCAGTGAGTTCTAAGTTTCAGTGACGTAGTACGAGTCTGCATTTAGTTGTTTTGCCCACCACATCTTACTTCTAGTTGTCACCCCTGTGCCTTTGCCTTTACCTGCTTCAGCTGAAAATCTCATCAAAAAAATTGCGCTGAGGAATGATTGAAATTAATTGTGTTTAAGGATGATACATATATATATATATATATATATATATATATATATATATATATATATATATATATATATATATCTCTCTCTCTCTCTCTCTCTCTCTCTCTCTCTCTCTCTCTCTCTCTCTCTCTCTCTCTCTCTCTCTCTCTCTCTCTCTCTCTCTCTCTCCTCTCTCTCTCTCTCTCTCTCTCTCTCTCTCCTCTCTCTCTCTCTCTCTCTCTCCTCTCTCTACTCTCTCTCTTCTCTCTCTCTCTCTCTCTCTCTCTCTCTCCTCTCTCTCTCTCTTCCTCTCTCTCTCTCTTCTCTCTCTCTCTCTCTCTCTCTCTCTCTCTCTCTCTCTCTCTTCTCTCTCCTCTCTCTCTCTCTCTCTCTCTCTCTCTCTCCTCTCTCTCTCTCTCTCTCTCTCTCTCTCTCTCTCTCTCTCTCTCTCTCTCTCTCTCTCTCTCTCTCTCTCTCTCTCTCTCTCTCTCTCTCTCTCTCTCTCTCTCTCTTCTCTCTCTCTCTCTCTCTCTCTCTCTCTCTCTCTCTCTCTCTCTCTCTCTCTCCTCTCTCTCTCTCTCTCTCTCTCTCTCTCTCTCTCCTCTCTCTCTCTCTCTCTCTCTCTCTCTCTCTCTCTCTCTCTCCTCTCTCTCTCCTCTCTCTCTCTCTCTCTCTCTCTCTCTCTCTCTCTCCTCTCTCTCTCTCTCTCTCTCTCTCCTCTCTCTCTCTCTCTCTCTCTCTCTCTCTCTCTCTCTCTCTCTCTCTATCTCTCTCTCTCTCTCTCTCTCTCTCTCTCTCTCTCTCTCTCTCTCTCTCTCTCAAAATGGCGAGGTCGTATATCGAGGTCGCATGACATCATTGCATATTAGTTTATGTGCTGGGGCGTTCTCCGGGTACACGGCGCTACCCAAATATAATACACATTTTGCTTACAGAAATATATTTATTAATGCAGAGGGCTAAAACTTCATCTATTTTCAGAGCAATTCCTCTCCTTCTTCAGAAAACGTTCTCACCGTTTCGCCTGACTCCATTATTTCATTATGTTGTATTATTTTTCAATCATTCCAAGAGTTCTATAGAAACTCTTCAATTGGATGTCTTCATCCTGCTGGAGGATGACGGTTTTGAGCGCTTTCGACGCCGGTTAGCGACACCCACGAACGCGGTCCTTCATAGTTCCAGACAGGCACAACGGTCTGATGGGACCAGGTGTGCCTAGTAGGGCAGGCGCGGGACGGTTTCAACATGCTTCTCGAGCAGGAATCCATCACGACACGCGTTTTACGGGGTGAATCGGTAGGGCACTGTTGGCTAGCCTGAGCCGCCTCTGCTGGATCGCAGGCAGCATCTCCGGACTAGCCTGAGCCGTCCCTGCTGGACCGCAGGCAGCCGCTCCAGGCTAGCCTGAGCCGCCTCTCCTGGACCGCAGGCAGTAGCTCCACGCTAGCCTAGGCCGCCTCTGCTGGACGACAGGCATTAGCTCCAGGCTAGCCTGGGTCGCCTCTGCTGGACCGCAGGCAGTAGCTCCAGGCTAGACCTAGCCGCCTCTGCTGGACCGCAGGCAGTAGCCTCTTCTGGATCAGATCCTTGTACTACTGTTCAGTTATGGGGAGCTGTTCGGAGCCGGATTGACCCGGATAATGCCCTTCCAGATCTCAGAAAAAGCGAAGAGTACCTTTCCGTAAATTTGCACTGTCAAAACGTCTTAAGTGGCGGCGAGTGTGCATGCTTGCCCCTCTTCAAGTCGCTTTAGGAGCCTGCGATCTTCCGCTGACTGGAATGGCCTGCGACCATGGCCGCGGCAGCGGCCGCGTTACAGGGCAGTGGACATCAACGGGCAGGACGAACCGCGCCGAGCATCACAGGACATTAAGCTTTCGCCGCAAAGTCCTGCCGGAATTTCACGGTCGGATGGTAGGGTCAGGGTCCAACCAATAGGTACTCGTCAGCGTGGGCGCTAATGATCGGAATCCATCCAATCAAAAAGTTCGAACTAAAAATAAAAATATGTTCAGTTCTGCTGCCTATGATGAGCCAGTTGAAACATAAAAATTCTGCGAATTGAAGGAAAATGATGTCTTGACTTGCAGCAGTAAAAACT